TTTGAATTTCATAACTTAATTATTTAGAATTGTAGGATCATCCTGTTCAATCTTTGATTAATCTCATTAACAAAAGTCATCTTATTTACATAGAATCCTCTAATTGATTGTTTAGAATTTCATAATTATCGGTTGGTTTAATAGAGAAGCCTTCTATTTGTTAGTATACTTTCAATTTAATTTCCAAATTCTATGTTTTTCATAGTGTAATGATTTAACTATGTTTATTGTGGAATCTAATCTCTTTTTGTTCTTGGTATTATTGATTGGTAAGTTATTGATATTGGCATAAAACAGTGCATCTTTAGCTTAAATTTTATATTATTAGTTTGGCATCTGCATTTGTGTGTGGTTTTGATTGATTGCTCAAATTAGATGATTTGATTCTTGGTCTAAAGAAATTAACAAAATGCATACGAAAACAATGTGCAATAACTCATATCTATGTCAGATTGATTCAACTCAGTTAAATTGATAGTATTGGATAATAGTAAAATCAACTTATACTGTCTATTGGGTATAAATAGGACAGTTTCATGATTTCATCGTAAAAGAACCACATTTCATATCGTAAAAGAACCACCCGTGCCTATGGCACTCCCAAGTTAAAAAAATAAAAAAATAAAAAACACGTTCAAGTTTTTTTTGGCCCTTCCCTTAACAAAAAAAAATAATAAAAAATTCCCTTTAAATATTTAGTTTAGACTTGAGACTTGAGCTCATTTCCCTCTTTAGTATGTATGGGATTACAAGATATTCTTTTGTTCATGTGATTACAAGACATCCTTTCTTAATCTCGGACAATTTTAAAAAGCTGAGATCTTCAAAATTGAATTTGAAACTCACACCCAGATTTTAGTTGGTTTTGCTGAAGGGAAAACATTAGTTGCTATAATTGAGAAGACCCATGGCAGTAATGGACCCATGGTGATCGGCTTTCCGATTGATACATTGTTAAGCTTACTCATTTTCATTGTTATTTTTTTTCTCATTTGACAATGCCATTGTCTATTAAAAAGAGAAACCATTGTGTGATATTGTGTGTTGTCCGCTACTAATATACCATTACAACGGTTCAATTTTGCAGACAAGTGGAGTGAGATCAACCGACGACGCTAAGCTACGATAAGTTATATGGTAATTTCTTTTTTAAACTTTTTTTCCCAACCATACGCACCATTGACCTAATTTGTCATGACATACATAAATGAGGAATTTTAATCTCTAATTTGTTTATTCTATTTCATGTGATATTTGTTATTTCTTTATGATTTTGGGGTTTTCATGTAGAGAGTTGTACTAAATATAATATTTACGTGGCCAATTGGCAGCTTGACAATAGGATGGTGTCACTTGCTTGAAGTCAGTTGCTTTTGTTGAGTTGATTTTTGGATTCTATGATTTTGTCAAAGATCATTTACTCTACTTAGTAACCCAATAGATGCCAAATAGGTAGATCAAGTACTACCAGCAGCACATCCTCCTTATTGTTCCTTTGCTAGGAGGAAATGTAGCATCACCCGTAAATTGAGACAACTTTTCCCAAAAGCTGGTTAATGTTTTAAACTTGGTCCCTAAACATAATGATAGTCTCTTTGTTCTTGGTGCTATTTATTCTAATTTTATATTTCAATTCACCATGTTTGTTTCCAGTTTTTTGAAACACTTTTCAGAAAATTCTACTTTCTTATTTTCCGTATTTTTGTTTTTACAGAATTTTTTTAATATTTTAAGCATTTTTTTTAAAAAAAAAATTAGACACACCTAACATAAATACACTTAAAAAGTATAATTTTTGTGAAATTTTTTTAAAAAAAATTCACTAAATACCAAAAATACAAAAAAAATATGAAAATTCAGTATATTTTTCATATTTTTGTGTATTTATTAAATTTTTAAAATATTTATATTTTTCACAAATATTGTACTTTTTAGATACATCTAACTAAGGTGCATCTGAAAAAGTAAAAAAAAATGGTTAAAATTTTAAAAATATTCACTAAAAACAAAAAAATATGAAAAACAAAAAATTCGGTTTTCAAAAAACTGAAACCAAACACACTGATTATGGTTTCAATATATTAGTCTTCGTAGGACATAGCATTAGATCAATATTTCTAATTTTATATTTCTATTATGGTTTCAGGACATAGCATTAGAGCAATCAAGCCTAGCCTCATAATTAAGTTATATTGCAAATGAGTTTAGTGGCAGAACCAATATTTTGGCTTAGGGGCAACATTAAGCAAAAACCTAAGTTTATATTGCCAATGGGTATAGTGGCAGAAACAATATTTTGGCTTGACAAAGTTTTGTCCAGTTTCATAGGCTTATTCCTCACTCAGTTGTGTAGTTATGAAATATAATTTAAAAAAATCACATATCTATCCTTACAGTTAATTTTACATTTGATCAATTAACTCGTTTAAGGATTCCCAGTGGCAAAGAATATATTAGGAGAACTGCGTACGTATCAATTTGCTTCTTTCCTTTTCTTTCTTGAAAGTTTTCTATTTGATTCTCAACTGCAACCATCTGAATGGTGGTTTGATTGGATGAGGGTGGGTGATGATTTGGATATAATGTATGTTTAGCAAACACAATTCATACACCTTCTCACACAAACTATAATGTCTCTTTTAATGTTTATGTTTGTGATTAGGTAATGATTTTCAATTTATGTATTTAATCAATTAATGGACTGGTGTGTTTAGAAGTAGAAGGAGAATCGAATCTCTTGATCCTTTTGTTAATTGTTAATATGATATTGAAAGAGTTGTTTTCATTTGGAAAATTTGACTTAATTCACCCTTGATTGTTTAATATTAGTTTGATTTTTAGTTTAATATTAGTTTCCTTTTTATTTTTCAAGTTTTTATTTACTTTAAGTTAAAAGTTTTTTTCACACAACATGCATGGTTTTTGTAGGGAATGTTTTAGCACTCAAGTACAATCTTTTCAATCATTCCAGTTTTTTATCTTTTTGAGGTGGTGGTAATTTTCACTTTATGGTTAAGCCTTCTAATCGTTGAATTTAAAAAAGCCTTCTAATTATTGCATTAGGCACTACCTAATAAATCACAAAAAAAATAAATAAAATAAATAAAATAAAAAAAAAACACAACACCCAATTAATACACATTAATGTGTGTTTGGGAGGGGAAAGATTGAGTACATACCTAACCTTTTGACATAATGCACAAAGTAGTGGCCCAAGGCCTGAACCCATAACCTCAAGGTTATTGGGCCAAGTCTAAACCATTAAACCAATGGTCACCCCTCACTACCTAATAAATTGTAATATAAAAATTTATTACACAAAAATTGTTCGATCTCATATAATTGTTTTATTTTTTGTGAATCCTTAGCACTCGATTAGAGTGATATATTTTGACTTCGACTTTTATTTTTGTTTTTTCCTTCAAATTTCAAGTGTATAAAAGTGGCAATTTTCCATGATATTGCAGAAAGTAACATCTTTGTATTTAGATTTTTTTATTGGGTTTCTCATTACGCATTCTTTTGCTGTGATGAGTAGTATATTGAAGAAAAACAATCATAGTGAGAAATTTGAGTAAATTGTTGTATAATGGTTAATTGGGCAAAGCTTTTTGTCATGAGCCTGCCTATATTGGGATTCCAAATTAGATGTAATTATTTATTTTCATTTGTTTTCGTGTATTATTTAAATTATTAAATTCTTCATGCTAAATTGAAAAAAAAGAAAAAGAAAGAAGAGTTATACTTAGCAATTGCTAAATTGTGAATTCCTATACTTAGCAATTCATATTCATTTTTTTTTTCTTTTTTGGATACAATATTCATATTCATATTCATATTCATTAAGCAGCAACATGTGAATTCACAAGTCATGATATACACTAATCAAGAGACTTGGGAACAAAACGTAAATGTTACCAAACACACATATTCATTTTTTTTTTTCTTCTATACAATTCATATTCATATTCATTAAGCAACAACATGTGAACTCACAAGTCATGATATACACTAATCAAGAGACTTGGGAACTAAGTTGAAAGGTGCTTGATCATATGTATCAAGAAGGGTTATATTGAAATATTTTTTTTATGTTCAATTCCTGTTAATTCATAGTTATTGATTTCTCCGTTTCTTAAAGGTATTTTGATGTGATTTTTCCTGTTATGATTTCTTTTAATTGATTTTTCAAAGTAAATTCAAACATTGGAGTAATTATGTTGCAGGTGACTAATCCACCTTAGAAATGTTGGGATTGTGTTGTTTTTCTATGTGTGTTGATGGTTGGCTCTTTCATTCTAAACTGGATGATTTTTATTTTTTTTAAAGCTAGGATGATTACTCTTTTGTACCAAAATGTTCATTCACAATTTCTTGAAGCTTTGAAATTTGATAAAGCGAAAAGGTTACTCAGTTATAATACTAATTTAGACACGTTCTTTTATTGAAGGTTGTCCCATTCTAACTCACTATACATGTGTTATTTTGACGTGAATATCTTTGCTTATATTGTACACAACATTTTTATATTATAAATTTGCTATTTAAACTTTAATTATTTTGACGTGAATATCTTTGCTTATGTTGTACAAAAACATTTTTATATTATAAATTTGCTATTTAAACTTTAATTATGAAGTTTGCCAAAAACTATAATTTGCTATTTCAACTTATGTGTGAAGTTTAATATTGCAATGAAATTGTTGTCATTTTGAATTAATTTATTACAATTGATTTTTGTAGTAGTTAAATTGTTATCATTTTAAATTGATTTATTTTAATTAATTTTGTAAAGTATGTGATACTAACATTATTTACACTGTGCCTTCAGGCACAGGCATGCACTATATATATAAGTTCTGGCAGCACAATTCAGAATAATATCATACCCAGCAATGCAAAAGCGAGAACCAAATTGTACTGAACCAAAAAGCACCACACTACAAAATCTACAAATATAAGAAAACCAAAGCATAACAAAAACACAGTTTTAATCATACCAATGGCTGTTTTCAAAGAAGATTCAAGATAACTCTTTGGGCACTCCATGTTGTAAAATATTTCCACGGGGAATAACTTCCCAGGGACATTGAGTATAGGGCAATTGGAGAAAAATCTTGACACTTTTTCACCATCAAGAGTAGCCGAAGTGATCAAAACCTTCAGATTGGATGCACGCATTCTAATCAACCGTTTCATCAGTCCTGGCAAAATATCCCTGGACATACATATTTCCACATATGAAGGCCATTGTATATAATGTACAGATCCAAAAATAAAAAATAAAAAATTGCGTAAATAAATTCAAATAAAAAAGTATTTAAGTTAAATACCAGAAAATTTTTAGAAATGCCAAAGATCGAAGCATCTCCAATCATGTAGCATATAGATGTAGAAGTGCTAAAATAGCACAATGCAACAAAAACACTCACTTCAACAAAAAACATACTTCTGTTAAAAGCATACTATACCTTTGACTAGTTGATTTTTTTTTTAATAAAAATTATATAATTGGAGTTTAATTTATCACTGATTACATTACAAGTTTACAACTATGTCATGCGATGATAAAAGTGAAGTTAATTTGGCACAAATAAATTAAGATAAATTAAAAAAAAAATAAAATCATCTGTGTACAAGCCAATTTAATTATTTTGTAATTTCGACTTAAATTAATAAAAATTAAAGCATTATTTAAATAATGGTGGTTTATAGGTAAATGAATGACAAATAGCACAAAAACAAAAAATACTACACTTTTAGAGAACCAGTGCTATTTTTAGCACAGTAAATACTACCAAGTGCACTTTTACAGGGTTAAATAGCAAACAAAATATTACATCGTCGGAGATTCTCTAAGTGTCTAATGCTAGTCAAAGAATAAGAAATATAATAAGAACCCATAAAATGAAAGAACAGACAGGGTCATGAAGCATGAAAAAGAATCTTACGTGTTTAGGCTCCTTTCATGAGCTTCATCTAATATGATTACAGAATATTGGTTGAGCTCTGGGTTTGAAAGACTTTCACAAAGAAGAACTCCATCGATAAGATATCTGGGCAGTCCACAACCATACAATTAGTCATTAGTAAAGTCAACAAACCACAAACAAGCAATGAGATAGAAGACTTCGAGTAACAAGTTAATTCATATTACTTAATACATGTTTTCTCTGAAGTTCGATCTTCAAACCGAATTGCGTAGCCTACTTCCTCCCCAAGACGAACACCAAGCTCCTGCGCAACACGTCTGTGAACAATTACTAATAGAAAAAAGGGATCCTATAAATTGCTCCAATAGGAAAGAATGCCACATAAGATATATATCCTTTACTCCTATGTTTGAAGCATTAGATTAAAGCCTACAAAAAAAAAAAAAAAAATTTGAAAACTCCCACAGACTATTCTTTGGGAACAAAATAATCTTTATGGACCAACCCCCACCCCCCAAAAACAAAAAAATATTTCGATGCATTCTTGGAGACTTTGCATTGGCCTCTGAAGTGGCTCCCCTCCACAGGCAACATAGCAGTTACATTTATGCTTGATGTCTGCCCATCTCAAGATCAAGGCCCAGTAGAATCATCATCCCTCGATGTTGTCCAGCATCTTAGCCCTATAAAATTGAGGCATGACTCTCATACAAAGAGTCACCTCTTGCACCCCCCTTACTAATGATCCAACTTAGTCGTTGCACTTTAGGGCCAAGGTGCTGGACAGCATTGATGCCTAAAAGAGTCGACTCCCCTGGACACGTTGCATCCCCATAAAAGTTGCTTGGAGTCCAACCATTTCAAGAATAGTCATAAATAGCCAACCCATCGCCTTCAACAAATACATTCTGTTACACTCTCCAGTACTCGTAAACTAGCCGGTGCTTCACCCGAGGTGATCTCTCCAGTCTCATCTGATTGTTGGCAACAAATACCTATCAGGTTCCACTCTCTACATATAGTAATTACTAATAAAAATTCATACTTCCAAAGGCAAAACAATCTAAATTTAATGCATCATCAAATTGACTCCATAATGCTCCATTTGACTGTCAACAAAACTTCTCTCCTAATAACTCATGTAATTATTTCTTTTCTTTTCTCTTCTAGGTTCCAAACAGAGTGTAAATGTGTGTACATATATATATATATATATATACATATACAGCTCAATATGAAGGAGAAGAAGATTGTTACCTAGAGACGGAGACTGCGGCAACTCTACGGGGCTGAGTGACGGCGATGATTCCAGATCTGGTGTAGCCTTTTCTATGTAGAATCTGAGAAAGCTGGGTGCTCTTTCCCGAACCAGTCTCTCCTATGATTACCACCACTGGGTTTTGCTCTACTGTTTCGACGATTTTCTCTTCGAATTGGATGATGGAAGATTCGCATTGATCAACCAATTCGAAGCTTGAGATTGAACCCGAAATCAAAATTCAAAGAATTACAAGTGTTATAATTAAAAAATGCATGCTGAGGCTCACTATGTTTGGGAACCTAGTAAGAAAAAGAAGAGAAATGAATACTTAAGCGATACGAGAAAAACAAGAAAAATGATTAGTTAAGTTATACGAGAAAAGTGAATAAACGATTGTGATTTTTCTTATTTTTATTTGGATAAAAAAAATAAAAGAAAAAAAATAATTATAATTTTTCTTATTTTTATTTGGTTAGATTTTATTAAAAAAAAAAATTATTTTATGTTATATTATCAAAATAATCTTTTTATATTTTCAATCATTTTATTTCTTTTATTTTTATAGGGACAAAATTAGTATTATGAAAATAATTGTTTCTTTTCTCTCTCAATCTCTCTACTTTTGGGAAGATTAAAAATGAGGCTTATAAAAGAAATGAGTTTATCTCTATTTCTCTCTAGTTCTTTCTATTTCTCTTCACCCAAGTTATCTAATCAAGTAAGAGAAATACATATCTCTCCATTTCTTTTCTTTTCTCTCCAAATCACTCAATCCAAACATAGCGTAAGTGTTATAATTTTTTATTTTTTTTAGATTATTTTATTTTTACCCTGTACTTTGTCACGATTTTTAATGACCCATCAGACTACTTTTATTTTCACGCGTATTTCTATACTATTTAAGTTTCTATCAATTTTGTCCTTGCCGTCATATTTGAAATGAAAAAAGTTTAAAAAATTACATTTTGGCCCCAAATTTCAAAAGAAGTATGCAGACTCGCCATTTTCTTACCAGCAAACTACCACCAGCAAGAATCACTTCAAGCACTTCTATCTCCTTCGTTATAATTCCGTTTTCGACTCATTTTTATGTCGTTAGATTCAACTCACTGTCTAGTTTTCGTATCACATCTCACACGTCTCATTCTTTCTCTTTTTGCATGCTATCAAAGTTTCGAAAGTTGATAAAAAAAAAAGATTTTTCTTCTCGTTTTCGACTTTTCTTCAAGCCATCTTTCAGACTTCATATCTTTCTCGATTCTTCACGGTTTTACTTCATTCTTTCTTCATTCTCTTCACCTCACTTCCTACTTTCGCTCTACACTACCTTGTTTTTTTACTTCTTCGAATAATGAGCGGTTTTGGTATGCCAAAAGTTATCCAAAAACTAATTTCAAAAATTTCAAAAGAGAAAACAAACGCAACCCACAAGCTGGAGGATAAGAAAAAGAAATCGAGATGGACGAATAAAGATTCATATGTATGCACATAGAAGAAACCATTGGCAGCAGTGTCTAGAACTTCAAAGGGCCGAGTCTTCGTGATGAATTGGTAATGGTGACAGAGGGCTTTGGAATAAGGAACTCTAAGTACATATCCACGAAAAAGTTGTCAACAATGTCAAGGTAAACTAGGCACGTAAGGCGCGAGTAAGTTTGGAACACCTCTTCTATGTCCAACACATGGTCCACATCATTCATATCCATCATCTCTAACTCTCTCATCTTCTCCGCCAACATATAACCCCCTCATCCTCCATTGCCAATCTGCGAACATGTCTCTTCTCCTCTACCTTGACTAATGCTTTCTATGTTCTCCTCTTCATTTTCCCTTACTTTGCATTCGCTCTTCAAAGCATTCTTGTCTTCAAATTTTGTGAAGCTTCTATTAGTAGTATCTGCCTCATTCATTAGTTTTTTGCTCTTCATCACCTTATTAGTATTAGATTGTCACTGCTTGGAGAAGTCTCTGTTGAATTGATCTAATTGCTGCAAGTTTGGATTGCTATTGCCATCATATAAGGGGTTGAGATGATGGGTTTTGGGTAGCTTTTTGTATCCCCCAAAGAGAAATGACTTGAGGTTTTAGAGGGTTTTGTGAAAGAACATTTTGATCTTGTGAAAAGTGTTTCTTAGCAGCATTTTGTGAATTCCAGTGGCGTTTGTTTACAAGGAATATTGTGTGTGTTTCTATTTTTCTTTTAAGTTTGTAGCAGCAACGGATAACTGCCATAGCTTGTTTGGCTTCTTACTCCCCAAAGATGTTGCTTCTAATATACATCTAAGAGAGACAGAGACTGTTAAAGTTTCTCTCACTTTCCTTCAGATTAAAGGCAATGGATTTTAGAGGGACAATTTGTGTATAAGTGAAGAAGAAGAAGAAGAAGATGGAGAAGAAAGAAACAAACGCTGAATCTTTTGAAATTTTCGAAATTAGTTTTCGAATAACTTTCGGCATACCAAAACCGCTTATTACACGAAGAAGTGAGAAAGATAGGTAGTGTAGAGCGAAATAGGAAATGAGGTGAAGAGAATGGCGAAAGAATGAAGTAGAACCGTGAAGAATCGAGAAAGGTATGAAGTCCAAAAGATGGCTCGAAGAAAAGTCGAAAACGAGAAGAAAAGCCTTTTTTTTTTTATCGACTTTCAGAGCTTCGATAGCATGCAAAAAGAGAAAGAATGAGACGTGTGAGATGTGATACGAAAAGTAGACCATGAGTTGAATCCAATGACATAAAAATAAGGCGAAACGAAATTATAACGAAGGAGATAGAAGGGTTTGAAGTGGTGGTTGCTGGTGGTGGTTTGCTGGTAAGAAAAGGGTGGATCTGCATCTTTCTTTTGAAATTTAGGGCCAAAATGTAACTTTTTAAACTTTTTCCGTTTCAAATCTGATAATAGGGGCAAAATTGATAGGAACTTAAATAGTATAGGGGTACGCATGAAAATAAGAGTAGTCTGGGGGGTCATTGAAAATCGTGACAAAGTATAAGGGTAAAAATGAAATAATTTCTTTTTTTTTTTTGTTCAAAAGGTAAGGTGATATGAGACAATAAATGAAAGGGGAAAAATATAATTCGCCAAAAAATTAATAAATAAATAAAAATGTCTTATGTTGTGTTTGGTTAGAGATTTGAAGAGAGATTTAGAAAGAAAAATGAAAAATGTAAATAAAATGTGAATAAAATATACTTATATTTCACCAGTTTCACATATCTTTTCTCTTTTCCTTTTCAAATTCCTCTCCAAATCTCCCAACCAAACACAATATTAATGTTGTTGGTTTTTTTTGGTTCTAATTGAAAGGGGAAAAATATAATTCGCCAAAAAATTAATAAATAAATAAAAATGTCTTATGTTGTGTTTGGTTGGAGATTTGAAGAGAGATTTAGAAAGAAAAATGAAAAATGTAAGTAAAATGTGAATAAAATATACTTATATTTCACCAGTTTCACATATCTTTTCTCTTTTCCTTTTCAAATTCCTCTCCAAATCTCCCAACCAAACACAATATTAATGTTGTTGGTTTTTTTTGGTTCCTCATCTTACAATTGTGACATATTAGCCGATCCACTTAGCCCTGCCAACTCCACTCGATCTCAAATAGGCAATTTCGATACAACGTATAATGGATGCATGTCTAGCAATTACAAAAAAAAATAAAAAAAAAAATAAATAAATAAAATCATGCTTTGATCAGAACGTAAAACTAAGAATAGTCAACTCAGTTCAATATTTTTGGGGCTTGAGATAATATTTAACCCATAGGACTTGGTCAGGTAGAAATTTTGTAACTTGTTTAATTTTTGAATTAAGCTTGAAATAAGAAGTTTTGGCTCTGTCTATTTATAAAGATTTGTTTTAATTTTATATTATTTAATTGTAAGATAAACTAGAAAAAATAATCATAGCTAAGAAAATTATATATATTCATTCTAAAAAAATTATATATATACATACTTATTTTTAGGGATTAAATTAGAACATTTATTAAGAGGTCATTTATTTTGCGTTTAAATTTTTTTAATGTTTTAAATGCAAATAATTATTAAAATGGTCTAAATAGAATAACCATCAAGACCAACGGAAAAAAAAGAAAAGAAGGAAAAAAAAAGACATACTTGTTGGGTTAAGCAAGCGAGTTTGGGATTTAAAAATTATTTTTAGATCAAATTTAGAATGATTAGCATTAACTTGACATCAGGTCAAGTCAAAATTGAGATAACATATATATTCTTGTTATATAATGCAAGTCCATCCCAAACTCAATTCGGTTAGACATTCGTACACCCTTAGGCAAAACTCAACCCAACAATATAAAATTAAAATTTTTTCATAAATATTGATATATGTACTTATTACTTATATATTATATAATTAATTTGTTCAATAAATAAAATATTAAAACTTGAAAATGATGCTTATTACTTCTCAAAAAAGATTGTCTAAGAGGGATTGCATAGGTTACACAGTAAAAATGTTATAGACCACAAAAATATACCACAAAGACCATATCGAAGTTGTGACAAAAATAATTAGAAATAAATGCTAGTAACAAACATTAGCACGGGATCCTCTATCATCTATCACTAATACGCTCTCAACTGACTGATTGTACCTCAAAATTTTCTTATTTTGAGATTCCCACGTTTTGTTAGTGGGAGTGCATTGAAATATTGAGAAAGTAACATACATTGGCACAAGAACCTCTATTCCAAAATTCCATCTCCCAGCCATATAATCATACCACAAGCATTAAGAGAGAGAGACGGTGTTCATTTTATTGAATAAAATTGTGTATAAAATAACAAGACCTTGGGTCTATCTTGTCCTACAACTACAGAACCATATTTCAACACAATACCATCTGCACAAAGCCATATCCACAAACTGCATGATGAAAGGATTATTTGAGCAACATGCTTCAATGCTCTACATTGAGAGGGAAATAATACAGATTGTGAGAGAAAGAACCACTACTTGTAAACCATAGAAATGACCTATCTACAAAATAAATACTTAAATGCGTGACTTTAATCTCAGACAAGAGATATATGGTTTGATGAATAATTGTATCCTACACACTCTCATGACATGATTTCCCGGTCTGCTCTTTCCCATGCTCAACAGAACATAATGACTGCTCGTTCATTTGTACGTGATTCATATGGAATCTTTAACTCCCCCGAGAAGATGTCTTGTTGAGAAGAGTTGCATCGTTTTGCAGTCAATCCGCTGTCAAGCTGAACCAATAGGGTTCAGAGAATCTAATCCTCTGCCTCATTTCTCTTCCAAACTTATGGTAGAAGAAAGTTTCTCTTGCAAGGCTTCAAGCAAATCTAGATATTCAGCAAATGCCGGGAGTGACTGGACAAGGAGTACATCAAGAAAGGAAAGTGAGGCACACAAATGAATAGCCACCGTAAACAAGCCAATCTTTGAGAGACGTATGTACCCCCAGAGTCACACGCTATAAGCTTTCCACAACTGCATATCATGCTGAAATAAATCAAAAAGAACCTGTGCAGCATCACACGAGTGATAAAGCATAACGGAACAAAAACATTAGTAAGACATGTAAACATGATTAAACATTTCCTTCTATAAATATTTCCACGGCAATTGTACCTCGGATCGTCTTAAAAGAGTGGCTAGGATGACTATTTGCTCTTTGAACTTGACAGAGCACATATGAGCCAAAAGAAATTCCGCATCTAACCGACCCTGCAGTGTGCCCATTTGAAGCTGGAAATATATATGAGACAAGTCAATCGTCAGGAAAACAATATCCGACTAATTTGCGAGCTTTCATTGACTCGCTAATTAGTTAGTCAAAGAGAGCATTACCTTCTCGAGTCAAAAGATTGCCTCCTGTACCTAGAAGGGAAAAGAAAATAGCTCAAGAATCTGGGTGACAGTTTGTATGAATCTGCCACCGAAGGTTCATATTCCCCCCCAGATCAAAAAATTGGAAGAATTAACCATCTTACTGAAAGAGGCATAAAGTCATGTCAAAACTTATACCAGCTTCCCATCAAGTTCATATAAAGATTCGTCTAGCGCTGCCTGCACAATTTGGAAACTCTTTCTCAGGCATATGACATAATCAAAGGCGAGTATGGCAACTATAAGCAGTGCTTACCTGTAATAAATGTAAAGCACAGTATTGACTAACAGCAGGACCCTCAAGCTTAGCGATCACATGTAGCAGCAAAAGTAGTACAAGATAAGATTAGCAATTTAGAATTAAAGTATGGGATTTGAAAAGTTGATAAGCACTGGAACTTAGCTTATCTAGAACTTTTTCCAACAACTACAAGCTTTTTCAGGACGTAAGTTGTCGTCTATGTTACATAGACACTTCTACATGAAGTACCCATGTCGGACACTAGACACTTATTGCCTGCTACTTGTACCTGTGAAACTCATTGATCTAGGAGACTTGAACACTTTCAATTTGTTAAACCAATGATAGATGAACTGAATACCAATTCAATCAGTTCACTAAGACTAATGTCATGTCAAAGACGTAAATATACTGAAGATAAAATTGTAACTAGACAAACTTTACAGCAGAGAGTCACACACAAAACTTTCATCTTTTCGTATTTGGAACAAAAAATAGAAGGGGGGGTGGTTGGGAACTAATGAAAATTTGTGAATTCCTCAGACCCTAAAGCTTGAACTTAATCAACCGATATGATTTAGTACATACAAGTATATAGCAAGCTGCTGTCTAGTACCATCTCTGCTGGAAGCATTCCTCAAACAACCGAGAGAACAGAAAAATCAAGAAATCCACTACCAATACACTTTACATGGTAGGTAAAATCAATAGAAAAAAAAAAAAGAATTAAGAGAAATCACATACTCGTTGATCTTCCGGCAGCAGAAAACAAATCCGCCCAATGTTGGCCATCAGTTTTTCTTGCAACGCTAACAACCACATCAAAATACTCTGGAAATTTTTTAATTAAATCACAAATCTTGTCCAAAAGAGAAGAGTTGGTACCATGCTTAGGAACTGAGATCTGGTTTTTATTTGCACTCTGCCCGTAAGAAAGTAGTTAAAACTGATAAAAATTTAAACATGAAAATTTAACCCATGGTCAAGGCATATGAAAACAAAAATGTTAATAGAAAATGTCACCAGTAGAAATACTAAAGAACTCTGTGAATTCACCATGCTGCCACAACAAACTTATCACAAAATTTGGTTAAAGAACTGTCATGTCTACAGAAGACCTTAACACTAAGCGGTACTAAACATATTTTTGGTAAATACAGCATTGTTAGCTTGATTAATCTTTACACAAGTATTAAGAGGTGACAACTTCCAGATGGAATTACAAACCCAGTGGTACCTGAAGAACATGTCTGAGTAGGCAATGCAATATAGTTTGAGCTTGAGGAGTTGAGAGTTGGCTCAAAACAATGGAAACTCTGTGCATGCTGAAAATGACATCCTTTGGGAAACACCTACAACTACTCCAGCATTTGTCAGAAGACCAAGAGGGTAAACCTCACAGTCAAATTCCAATTCATGATCCAACTGCAAATTAATGTCAAGTTACTTGAACGTCTCAGATTACATAAAGCAGATAATCAAATCAGCATTATAATCGAATGAATGTAATTCTAACCGTGTTGGTTTTATTCCAACAAATATATTAAACAAAATAATACCGTTAATGCCCAAGAAAACATCATTTTCTTTCCAAACTCATTCTCCAAGCATTATTCAATTATGACATCCTATTTTGATCGAAAGCCCCAAAAGTTAAACGTAATTCCTTTATTTTCTTTAAAAATGCTCTTTTGGTCACAAACCGGTAAAAATTTCAAAATTTATCGAATCAAAGTCCGTTTTTGTTCAAATTTAAAACATTACTCTTTCATAACCTTACAAACATATTCCAAGTTTACACTTTCGCAATTTGGTCATCAACTTTTTATTTTTCTCAAAATTTCTCTTTTAAGCAAATAAATCACAAATTTTTCAAAAATTCTAATTAAATTATATACAACTCTAAGCTCCCTATAATAAAGTAAAAGTGCATAAAGAAGTATAGGAAAAATCCCTACCTCGCTAGAAGAAAAAATAAGCAAAAACCCCAATTTTCGACTTTCTCGGATTTTGATCTCCATCGGTCAAAACGTTGCTCTCACCAAGCTCTTCACTTTGGTCTCAGGAACATGGGTATAAAACTTAATAGATTTTGATGGATCATAGATTTTTCATGATAAATGTAATAAGAGAAAAAAAAATTTAAAAGAGAGAGAGAGAGAGAAAACAGAGATCCGAGAGATAGAGAGAGGGAGAGAGAGAGAGATATAGCTCCGCAATTGAAAAGAAGAAGAAAAGAAGTCAAGTTGATTGGGATGGGCAGCCCCTTCACGTGGGCTTGTTGCCTCAAGTCCCCCTTTTTTATATTATTATTTATTTTTCTCAATCAATGTACACCCTCGGGAACATTAAAACCCAAGCCATGACACTAACTCCAAAGTTACAACACAATTCTACATCACACTAATATTACGATAACCCACGAGATCAAACCCAAATTGAACAACTCTTACTATACCAACTCACTTATCGACAAGTATTATTACCGCTATTGAGGCCAATTAATGGAATATTCTATCTCTCACCCTAGAAGTATCCCGAACCAATCACAATGAGACACCTGTAAAGATTGACACTGAAACGACTCTAAAATTCTCGAATCGTTAATAAATTGATTAACCTCAAATTACAATAAAATCTCTCCAAAGGAAATTCAATGTACATCCCTTGCCAAAAGAAATAATTCTACACTTCTGATTCAGAATTCTAATTAAAATAATTTTTTCAGTACTTCAATCCAATCACTATGAAATCTGCTCCACATCTGAAAAATAAACAATTTAACACGAGAAGTAATCCACCATAGCTTATTAAGGTACAAAGAAAATAAAATTAAATCCTCATAACTGCTCATGTCACAAATAACAACACCAACTACCATATTAAACCCACCACAAAAGCCTACATAACTCAAGACAAAAGGTTACACCAACTAATACTAGTTTTAGTTACTTTGAAATCTTCTATGAAGTCTCTAGCCAACTCACTTCCACCCAAATTCTAAAAGATACTACCACAAGTTATAAAGCCACTCATTCACTCTAAGAAATTTTCTATGTCAACGATAGTCATTCCATAACAATTTCCAAGACTAACAAAATAACGAGAGTACTTCATACCAATTTATTCCTTGACGAGGGGTCTACCGAATAACTTCTTCTAGGGTAATATCAACACAAAACACGATGAAGCAAAATTAAAATAAGGAATCATCCTCTATTAGGCAAAACTAAATACATTGTAATTAAGAAAACACTTACCACTTAAGGTCAAATACACCCAAATTAAACTCAATAATAATATTAGATCAACATACCAATAGCACAAATTCTCACCACACTTATAGCAAAACGAAAGATCAATATAAGGGGTTCACAACTCTTACACGGAGGATACAAAATAATCTTATAGCTAAAGGACAAGGGATACAAAATAACCTCAATTTCAATTGCATGAAAATTACCGTCACTACACACACCAAACTTAACTCAAAATGCTCACGTATACTTCTCATATTCACAATTTCTAATCCATAAGTAAGAGTAACTATAAAAATTAACATCAATCACTCGTGATGGATCAAGCACTAATTTTCATGAAAATACTCAAATCATAGTCACATCAACCATCTCAAGGCACCTAATCATAATCTCCATAGAATCACAACATCCTCACATGATCATTTCAAAAATTTCTTTAAACACATTGGTTTGCTAACACAACTCCCGAGACATCAATTACATCATATCCCTAAACACTTATTGCACTTGGGTACAATCAACAACTAACTCTGAGACAATGGACTTCACCAATCTCGAAGGCACTCGAAACTCGCCTACATGTTCTAAAATATCCACTCATGAGTCAATGTTGTTACTACTGATAATCCCATCAAATGGTGTAACCCAAATCAAATTTAATCTCATTCCAATCTATCTCAAAATTATTCATCTCATTTGCCCTCTTAGGATTTGTAGCAAATTTATGAATAAAACAAACTCTCTAAGAAACACATTTCTTACTACACGCTATAATTTCTATCATGCTAAGACCACGTTTATTCCCAAACACATACAAAATAATTGGCATAGGGCCCATCACTAACCTCACAAGTTGTCCATCAAGCAAGTGAAACAATCTAACTATAACTAACTTCGTCTATCCCAAGAAAATTTAGAACTAGTTTTACGTGTTCTAATGTCAACAATCCAAAGCATATTATCTTAGATTACTTTAATCATCATTAAAGTCACAACCAAACCATATTATTACAAAAGGTTAATCTCTAACTCATTCTACTTCTAAGATTTTTCATCTAGTCTACTTCCACAAACTTGATATAAAATTGAAAAATAATTAACTCCTCATAACAACAAACCAGACGCTACACAACACAAACTCTACTATTTTAAGGTCACATTTATACCCACAATCATACAAATCGGTTAACCTACGCTTCAATACTAATTCCACAACATCTGGACCAATCATCCCGGCCATATTACTCTAGCTTACACCTTCTTCCTGGGGAAAATGTATCCTCCTACATGAGAACATCCCGGGCACCCCAAGTGCCTCTATTACGGCCTCTCCCACTTTATGACATCTTATATAAGAGGCAGAATTTAGCTCAAAAGTAAGTACTCCACACTAGTTCTAACACGCTGCATATGGATTAAACATAAGCCTACACATGTATCTACATCACATAAGGCAAATCATATAAGCACATACGAGTTACCCCTCTAAGATATTGACTCGTTCCACAAACATTCAAAAACTTCCAAATAGAAATAGCATTGATCAGGTGCTTTTCTAAAAGGACCTCAAAGAATTTCATGGACGCAAATTACATCTCAGAAGTTTAACCCTATACCCACATAGTCACATAAACATGTGATCACGTAGCATATAAGATATGCAACATTTCTCACCAGCGAAATGAACCCACTGTGGTAAAAACCACTTCCCGCGAGCCCCAAGTACTTAAACCTAGTAACTCTAATACCAAGTTGTAACACCCCGAAAATTGGGCAGAGTATATCTATTTATGCTACAAAACCCACCTGATAGACAAACACATATATATAGCTAACTATTCCATACATCCATTTCCATTAAATCCCAAATGCCAAATACATGCTATTCACATCTCAATGCCCCAGTTCCAATCCCAAGCATACATTTTACAACAAGTATGAAATGGAAGCCGAACAGATAATAAGTGCCCTACAGGCTTACAAATTTATCCAAGAACATTCTTGGTTACACAAAATGGAGTTTTAACTCAACGCAAATATAGCCCTGGGCTTACATTCAACAAATAACAATAAAACAAAATAAAGTTTCAACTCCGAGTCCTCCCAAGTCAATGCCTTGGTGAAGGCATAGCACATGTACTTGAAATGGTTTTCCTTATAGGGTGAGCCACAACCTAGTAAAGATATACTACACAACATATGAACCATGACAAGACTAAAGAGGAGTATGCTCATGTCATGCTCATGATAAAACAATTTATCTCTTTTTTTATAAAGCATGTAATGCTGAGATGCAACAATAGATATAAAACCATTTCCATTTTAAACCATATCTGTTACATGAATACAGGCTCTGTGAATCTCTAGGTGAGTGTCTGCAAGTAGGCCCTAATGCACTACCATTTTCATTTTTACCAATAAACTGGAAGGCTCGACACCTAACCGTGCAGTTCTACACCCCTTACCTAGATTCACCAAGTATTCATCTTTTCGCAAATAGATACATTTCCAAACATTTCTTAAAGAACAGACACATTTCCAATGAAACGAATGTAATGCAATGTCCAATGCAACAACTGAGAAATGTGGTTCAATTTACCTAAGTCTCATGCATTTCTACAACAATCATGGCTATCCTTTACTGATGGCCCAAAACAGATATTTCTAAACAGATATTTAAATAATTAAATTCCAAAAAAAAATAAATAAATTGATAAATACAATCTATTCCACATCTTATCAAATATGAACAACTACACTAGTTTTCATATCACAATCACGTCCGGTAACCTCTCAAGGTCCATTTCTAACCGTGTCGGTTTTATTCCAACAAATATATCAAACAAAATAATACTGTTAATGCCCAAGAAAACATCATTTTCTTTCCAAACTCATTCTCCAAGCATTATTCAATTATGACATCCTATTTTGATCAAAAGCCCCAAAAGTTAAACGTAATTCCTTTGTTTGCTTTAAAAATGTTCTTTTGGTCACAAACCGGTAAAAATTCAAAACCAATCAAATCGAAGTATGTTTTTGTTCAAATTTAAAACATAACTCTTTCATAACCTTACAAACATATTCCAAGTTTACACTTTCGCAATTTGGGCATTAACTTTTTATTTTTCTCAAAATTTCTCTTTTAAGCAAATAAATCACAAAATTTTCAAAAATTCTAATTAAATTATATACAACTGTAAGCTCCCTATAATCAAGTAAAAGTGCATAAATAAGTATAGGAAAAATCCCTACCTCAAGCTAGAAGAGAAAACAAGCAAAAATCCCAATTTTTGACTTTGTCGGATTTTGATCTCCACTGGTCAAAACGTTGCTCTCACCAAGCTTTTCACTTTGGTCTCAAGAACATGGGTCTAAAACTTAATAGATTTTTGATGGATCATAGGTTTTTCATGATAAACGTAATAAGAGAAAAAAAATTTAAGAGAGAGAGAGAGAGAGAGAGAGAGAGAGAAAACAGAGAGCCGAGAGATAGAGAGCGGGAGAGAGAGAGAGAGATATAGCTTTGCAATTGAAAAGAAGAAGAAAAGAAATCAAGTTGATTGGGATGGGTAGCCCCTCCACGTGGGCTTGTTGCCTCAAGTCCCTTTTTTTTATTATTTATTTTTCTCAATCAATGTACTCCTATATATATATAACTATATAACTAAAGGTATATTTTAGGAACATTATAATATTTTGTAACATAAACAATAAAATAATATAATTATTTTCTCACCACCAAATATATTTCGTTTGATAGTGCACACCACAAAATATAATATTTTTCTCACCACGAAATATACGTCAATTTTATTTATTACAAAAATATATAATTTTTCACTATATGGTATACACCATAAAATTAACTATCAAATATTTATTATAATCCTATATAATAAATAATAACAACTTTCAAGGTGGTTATTACCAA